AACACTTTTAATATTTTTTTTAATTCAAGTGATTATGCATGATTGCATGTGAACCTTTACTCCTGTCATCTTTTAAGCCGAGTGCGTGTAAGTGCATTACATCAGATGAGGGATATATTTGGAAATACATTAAATAGAAAAACAATACTCATTTCTCAAATTATGTTTAAACGTTTCATTGTTGCAAAGACGTTCTTTTTCCTCTCTCGTTGCATGCAAGATTGTAACTGGATTTTTTTTCTTCTTTTTTTGCAGTGTGTGTTTTGTCTTTCAAATTAAACAAAATAAAATTTCATAAAAATAATATTTTCAGGAGTATTTGATGAAAAATATTTTATTTAATGTTGATTTCAGTTCCAATTTAGAAATGAAAAAAGGATAACGATTGATAAAACCTACTCCGATATTTTTAATTTATATAATTATATATATATATATATATATATATGCGGGATTCTGTTTTACTTTGAAAAAGTGTGCCAAAGAATATCTGCTATTTTCAATTTTCATAAAAGTATCTGCTCAGAAGGTTGGGTACCATTTTAGAATTCAAGTCATAAAAAAATATTCTGAGGTATTTTTAGAGTTATAGACTAATCTGTGGAAATTAGGATACTTTTCTCCATTTTAAAATGTAAATTTACTTTTAAAAAAAAGAAAGGTATACCGCAATACTTATTGAGTTAGAAACCAATCTAATGAAAATTGAATGCTTGTCTAGGTTTTAGAATGTAATTTTTTTATTTAAGAAAAAAGTATTTCGATCTGCTTATAGAGTTGGAGATTAATTGCATAAAATTGGGCACTTTTTCTCAATTTTAGAATCTAAGTTTTTGAAAAAAAGCTACTCCGAAGTACTTCCGAAATTTTAAAATTAGAAACTAATTTACGGTGATATTTTTAACAATTGCGGATAGTAGCATTAATTTGCCATATAGCCCATTGACAACTTTTTAAAGCATTTCAAACACCTTTGCTATTTCTCTTATTTTTGGAGCATGTAAAGAATGGGGCAATATAATAATAATGAGTCACATTTTCAAAATCATTCAAGAAACTCTTTTGGAGGGAAAAACTGTTTATATGAAATATAAAAGCGTAATTTTCCTAACACAAGATCCTGACAAGTTGCACTTTTCGAGGTATATTAACGCATTATCTGATAAATCCCCTGTTTGGACACTTATTTTAAGACATCGCATAAGATGTATATGAAAGTTTTGAGGCAATACAATTACAATCCACATTTTCAATTCGTTCAGAGAAGTGTTTTTGAAAAAATACGATAATAATAAGACGTTTATACATATTGAGCTGTTATCTTCTGGAAATTCCGAAAATTCTTAACGTACATATGTGGCTGCAATGCTGAACAATAGTTTGATACAAGATGTCCCCTGAAGAAAAAATTTGTCTCATCACTAGGTTGCTCTAAACTCTTAATATGTTTTAATTGCTGAAATAAAAAACTGTATTTATAACTGCAGGCGACCTCATGGTAGGTATATCGTGGCATTTGTCGATTCAGCAACCAACAGGGTCGACGCACACACGTGACGTCACTCACAAGTATCCAATTAAACCAAATTTAATTCACATGGTTAGGCTTAAACTCTTGACTTCTTCGCTAGTTGCAAGTACACCATTATTTTAAAAAAAATAATAATATAAATATTCATATTCATCATATATTCGACAATTTTTCTATATTAATTATTAAGCTGTTCAAAAAGTTTATTCAATAGGGTGTAGATATTATTGCATCGGTTTCAGCATTAAATATAAGTTTACATTAAGATAAATTTCGTCATATTTAAATACCCATTATAATTTTCTCAATATTTAGTTTCTGGTAAAAAAATCATTTAAAGTCTAAAAAACTTTAGATTGCAGTAACCAATCTAAAAATATTTAAAGGCATTAATTACATACACTCATCGCAATTTAAACTAAAATTAATAACCATTTCATTGGTTTTTATCTTTGTATTGTATTTCCTTTTGGCTAGTTTCCCAAACTGTTATCACGCTTGTCTTATACATATATTCGTTGGTTGGGTGCCAAGAACAAACAGATAACATAACGTTTCTCTGCGCCAAATTTGGCGCAATTAGAAATGGGAATGATGTTTCCCCTAACTGCCAAATGATGATAACTCTTCCTTCTTAATAATCACAAATGAAGATTGAGATACAGCGCAGCAACTAAACTGGGCAATCACCCATTCACAAAATATAACCTTTTGTTATTCACCGTGTCACCTTTTCAGATTTTTTTCCCTTCTTTTCTGGAATTGGCATCGATTTTGTGATTAAAAGAACATTAGGCGGAATTTGAATTTGGAATTCTTTTGTTCTTACTGAAGTGCTTTAATTTCCTTTTCCTTGCGACTTCATTTTCATCTCGCTGTGAGAAAGATATTTTGTATGAGATATTTGGCCATTCCAAGTCGTTGTGGGGGAATCTTTGTAACTATTTTGGGTGCTGTATTTAATGATTTTGGTAACACAAGCTCCGCGCATTATTTAATTCGGGTGATAAATCTCTTGCTGATTAACTTCACTTCATTATCGCCATTTCGGTGAATCAACTTTATGTAAAGCACCGGTGATTTCTGCCAGAAAATGGTTATTTGATGTTTGAATAAATTAATTCCTTTGGGTTCTTTATTTGTCGTTATTTTTGTAATAGTCATTAATTTTTCATCAGGAACTAAAGTTTTGACACTCAACTGATGATTTAAATGATTAAATATATTCATTGATTTGTATCATTCAAATTGCTCATTGATTAGAATTATTAAAACTATTTATTATGAACTGAAGTTTTGGCACACAGTTGAGGATTCAAATACTCATAATTACTTTTTGTTTCAAATCAATCAAATTGTTCACTGTTTCAAATCAATCAAATTGTTCACTTTTTCAAATCAATAAAATTCTACATTGATTTCAATTATAATTATCAATTATTTATTGATTCAAATCATTAAAATTATTAGTTGTTACGAAAAAATAAAAGTACTTGTTAGTTTAAATCATTGAAGTTATTAAATGATTTAAATCATTGAAATTATTAATTGATTTTAAACATTCATTTATTTTAAGCATTCATCGACTTTAATCATATTCATTATCATTATTAATTGATTCGAATCATTAAATTATTTAGTATGGATTAGACTGACACTCAATGGATGCAAATCATTAAATTATTCGATGATTCAAAACATTAAAACGATTCATTGAGCCGAATCATAAATAATTCTTTTCGTCGAATCAAGGAAACTATTCACTGATTAAAATAAAGGGTCGTTAAAAATTTTAGCTTAAGGACGAAATTTAGCTTGAGTAAGTTAAAGATTGGGATTCGGGTTGAGATTTTTTGCACATTCCACTCAAAGGCACCAATTGAAATTTGTAAACTATTTTTTAAATCGGAAGCTAAAATGACTTTTTGTATCCGCTGTCTCTTTGCTTTCTATATGCGAGAGCACAAACGGTACTGGAGTTATTAAAGAGACACACAAATGCACAGATACAAAAACTTTTCCATTTAATATTAAAGATTTATATAATCGATATTAAAGGTATTTAAGATTTATTTGTAAAAAATGTTAGTGCAATTTCAAATTATTCGAATTATTATTTTTAGTTTTCTACAATTATAGTAAATATTGCTATTTATTTCTGTTAAAAAAATTTCTTTTACGTCTCTGAAAATGTTTTTTTTGCTATTTATTAATTTTTATACACTGAGAAAAAATGTATGGTCAAAACTACCAAAATATGGCAAAATTTACTGTTTCTGGCTCTATGGCAGGGCTCGAAGAAAGTCAAAAATTTTACCCGTCCCCGAGGACGGCTTGTCCAACAATGTACCCGTCCTCCTTTGAAACTAGCCCGTAACTTCTAAATAAATAAAAATATAATTTTCTCTTACTTATTACAAACATTTATATAGATTGCACAATGAATTAGTAGTTACTAGGATTGCAAATAATAGTAAAACCTAGTATTTCTTTTATGAAATAATTAATTTCTTTTATGAAATAATTTAAATGACAAAGGTCAAGTTATCTGGAATGTCAATTTATCCGAGGGTGCTTCGTTTTTTAAATGAAACAAATATGACGTTAGACAGTTCCACAATCAAGTCAATGATTTACAGAGGTTTCTGCACAGAAATATGAAAGGGGTTTTCCATTTAGGTGGATGTTCATAATTGCGTTTAACGCTTCTTGTTTAAGACCAGAACGTAATGTGTTTTTTTGTAAGCTCATTGCTGAAAAGCCTCTTTCAATCACTGCAGTACTCCAAGACAGAGTAAACATCAATTCCAAAGAGCGCAGTATGTTGCTGTATTTCTAGATTAGAGGGTCATTTTAGAAGTGAGGCGCTAGACTCTTGTAAGATTACAAAAATTGAAAATGTATCACGAATATTAACGGGAAAATGGCCGTCCGCGCGGACGTCGGATTCGAGAAATTTGCTGTCCGCAAGGAATTTTTGACGGCCGAGGACGGGTGGTTTTTCGAGCCCTGCTCTATGGCTATATCAAAATGCTCGGTAATTTTTACCAAAGCGTGTTGATAATAATGATTTTAGTAAAATTCTCAACTAAATATGGTTTTATATTATGTGTTGCAATTTGGTAAAATTGGGAAATTCATTATGATACCTTAAACCATGGCATAAAAACCATTTATTAGGTTAAATTTACTATTTAATTTACATTTTTTATAAATGTTTGATAATAAAAATTTTAATAGCCAGAATTTACCATAAACCGTTACAACATGAACGGAACGAATAGTTTAAATACCGTATATTTCGCTTTTAATAATTAGAATTATGGTTTTATTAATTAAAACAATTGTTTTATCAAAAACGTCATTATTATAAGGTACGGTAGTTTTACCAGAATTTTTCTTTTCTCCATGTATTTCTTTTCAAAATTTTATTTTCGAAATTCTAATAATTGTCAACTTTCTATCGCAGATGTTTTGTCTAAAGAGGACAAGTGCAGCCGGTCAACGTGTGGACGCTGGCGGGAGTGTGAAGTTAACAGCGAGGGAGATGCCATTTGCACCTGCCACAAATATTGTAAAAAGAGAAAGAAGCCCGTTTGCGGAACAGATGGACGATATTACGTAAACCACTGTGAGCTACATAGAGAAGCCTGTCTCACGGATAGTCCAATTGCCATTGACCACAAGAGGTTGTGCCTGAAAAAGAAAGGTAAAAACACTTTCACGATGGAAAAATATCACTATGAAAACAAAATCTCAAAACAAAACAGAAAAATTTAATTATAAATGTAAGACTTTAGAAACACTGAATTTTTTATTTGATTAGCGCTTTTGTAATTTATCATTTATTTATTTTTTGCTCACACTACGAGAAGCTTCGTAATCTCTCGGAGTATTTGGTACTCTCTTAGAAAAATCTGTTCAACATTGAAACATGATATCAGTACATAAAACCTTAATATCGAGAGAATTCGATGCAACATTAATTTGGCTTTAAAACGTTTGTAATTAATTTGGTGTCATTAATTTGGTGTTTGGCGTAAAATTCACGTTTCCATAAGAATTAAACCGTAATATCGTGTAATTGAATCTATTAAGTACGATGATCTGTCCAAGTTCCACCTTGGAGTTGCAGCATATTGAATATTATATAATGTTTTAGCACGCAACAAAATTTAAAACTCTTTAGCCTATGAATGCCCAGGACACAATTTCTATTAGTTTTTAATACATTAAAATTAGATGCGTATCGACTAGAACAGTTTTAAAAGATAATCTTGTCTGAAATTTCTTAAACTGTATTTGTAAAAAGGTCGAAATATTTTAAACACAATGCAAAATGACAAGAATTGGTCATATTTAAAGAATAATTTCGACAATCAATCGTCATCAATCATCATCATCAAGCACCAATCGTCGAATACAAATGAATTAATTATTAATTCAATAAACTAACTGGTACCACTATAGCACTATTATTCGATTCAAACACCACAACACCCCTTATCGTTCTATTTAAACGTTAAATTAATTCTAAAATTATTCTTTAAAGTAGACACTCAAAAGCAGGTTTCTTGTAAAAGGTTGTCTTAAAAAAAATTTCAAATCGCCACTGGAAATCGAGACCTTCAGAATGATAGCTATCAGAGGCAATAACCACTGAGGAGTCGTGATTCAAATAGAGCATTAGACTTTAACTTCATAGATGCTTATCATGTAAAATATATTTAGTATATATTATAAATGTTGATATATAATCTATACTAAATATATAGTATATATAATATACATTGTATATAATATAAGTGCATAATTATAATAAAAGCTTGAAATAATTTAAGGCTGTTTTTTTAACTAAAATGTTGCACCGATGATCTGTTGGCATATTGCAAGATATTGGTTATTGCTAATTGGTTATTGGCTAATTGGTTATTGCAAGTTGGTATATTTGCTAATTTGGAATGCTTTTGTCACTCCAGTTTCTTAAAGAAAATATAAATTTTCAAATAATTGCTTAATTAATCCCAATTTTTAGAGATTAAAAAAATTTGCTTTTGGAACGGAAAAGTCTTCACAATTACTTCCTCCTTCATTGCTAAAGCTTAACAACATACATAAACGATGGTATTTTAATAGTAATTGAGTGATTCTCACGAAACATGACAGTTCGGACCAAAAAATTTCTTCAAATTTAAAGTCTTCAAAACAATCTAAATTTTTTTGTATACTTTTTAGCTACACTTATTAATATCTTATAGACAGCAGTGTAGTTTATTGGCATTTGCTCGAGAAAAAAAATAAAATAGAAATTCACCAAATCTTGAATGCCAGGAAAATGATATATTACCATAGAAGTTTTAAAAACAGTCATTTTAAGTTAATAGTAAGTAACTCAACTTAAGCCTTTATGTTAGATGGACCATAAATAGCTTAAATTAATTCTTTTTATCCACTGAAGAAAGAAACAAAAAAATTTTTGTTTCTTTCCCAAGCTTATTACAATCATACATAAACTTGGTATTAGGTTAATATTTGCTTTCCCCCTTTACAGTATTAGCAGTTAAAAAGAATTTCTGGTAACACTTCAATGTCCTAGCATTCATAAGCCAGGAAAATAACACCCAGGACAATGACAAATTCGCCATTTTGTAGCATATAAACTAAACTAAACTCAGTGGCGCGACAGCCCATAGAGGGCCAAGGCCTACTGTGTCTATCTCAGTTTTCTTGACCTTGGGCTCTGGGGTGCAGGAGCAGATGTTCCGGCAGATGTTCCGGTCAGGTGGTCAGCCGAACGCGGAACCCCCAGTGTTTAGTTCCCAAGCATGCTTGGTACTCATTTATCGACCCACTGAAGGGATGAAAGGCTGAGTGAACCTTGCCCGGCCCGAGGATCGAACCAGGGACCTGTGGCACGACAGCGCGAAGCGCTACCGCTCAGCCACCGGGCGTCAGCATATAACTTTACTTTAATTTAATATTTTGGCCGAAGACGTTTATATTCTGCAGAAAACAACAGTATTTCTTAAAATAATTCAGATAAATATGTAGTTTTTGTTATTAATGATTTCAAGAAGCCAGGAAAATGACCCAAGTAGCACAGGGATATTGTAACAGCTTTAGTCTACATCGACCGACATTGTCAATATTGGCGAAAATCGAAATTATGTGTACGATATTGTACGATTCCCGTCGATTTCACATTAAAAATCTGTTTGTAAAACTTATCATTTAAAACTTTATTGTGTTCTTAAATCAAAATTAATCATTTAAAAGACAAAAAATGACGTCAAATTGTTATAATTCCAAAAAATAAGTTTAAAATATAAATTTAGAGATATCCGAACAACCCCGGACAATATTTGATATCAATATTGCAATCGTGTTTTTGTCACGACATCGATTTTTTCTCTAAATACTGAAATCTACGATCTATACCACTCGGAACCGTAACCATAA